GTGAGGTTAAATAGTCAAGGGGGCTTTGCTACGTCAAAGGAAGAAGGTAGGGTCTCTAGGGTTAGTAAGGGGTGGAAAACTACTGAGTTAGGAGGGGTTACATGTCTCAGGGGTGATGGATTACATATCACAGGATGAGGGGGGAAGAGTCTTGCTTTCTGTTACATCCCAAAATCTTCAGTTTGCCTGTCCCTATCTACCACACTTCTGAAACCTGGAGAATATGGAGCTCTCTGTGCAGCTTTTAAGAGTTGCAGGGTTTGAATTGCCAATCTCGAGATGGCAGGGCTGACGTCATCAGCCAGGTCCTGAAGGGCTGAAACAGAGAGGAACAGAGCCATGGTCAGAGCCCAGGTCTGCGGGGACCTGAGGAGACTCTCCTGCCAGGGCCATCCCAGCCCACTCTTGCCATGGCCAGGAAGGAGCAGGGAATATCACAGAATCACAGGGTTGGAAGAGACCTTCAATATTGAGTCCAACCCATGCCCCAACACCTCAACTAAACCCTGGCACCAAGTTCCACATCCAGTCTTTTTTTAAACATATCCAGGGATGGTGACTCCACCATCTCCCAGGCAGACTATTCCAGTGCTTTATCACTCTTTCTGTGAAAAACTTCTTCCTAATATCCAACCTCTATTTCCCTAGGAGCAGCTTAAGGCAGTGTCCTCTGGTTCTGTCATTTGCTGCCTGGAGAAAGAGACCAATCCCCACCTGACCACAACCACCCTTCAGGAAGTTGTAGAGAGTGATAAGGTCACCTCTGAGTTTCCTTTTCTCCAGGCTAAACACCCCCAGCTCCCTCAGCCATTCCTCACAGGGCTTGTGTTCCAAGCCCCTCTCCAGCCTCATTGCCTTCTCTGGATACACTCAAGCATCTCAATGTCCTTCCCAAACTGAGGGGCCAGAACTGGACACAGCACTCGAGGTGTGCCCTCACCAGTGCTGAGTACAGGGGAAGGATGAGCTCCCTTCTCCTGCTGGCTGCACCATTCCTGACCCAGGCCAGGAGCCATTGGCCTCCTTGGCCACCAGGGCACACTGCTGGCTCATGTCCAGCCGGCTGTCGACCAGTGTCCCAGGTCCCTTTCTGCCTGGGCACTGTCCAGCCACACCATCCCCAGCCTACAGCAATGCAGGGGGTTATTGTGGCCAAAATGCAGGACTGGGCACTTGGACTGATTAAACTTCATCTTGTTAGACTCTGCTCATCCCTCCAATCATTCCAGGTCTCTCTGCAGAGCCCTCCTACCTTCCAACAGATGGGCACAAGCTCCCAGCTTAGTGTTGTCTGCAGATTTACTAATGAAAAACTCAATCCCCTCATCCATGTCATCAATAAAAACACTGAACAGACCAACGGGATCAGCCTGAAGCTGCTGGCCACGAATCCCCCAGGTGCCCTGAAATCTCTGTGTGCTCGGCCCACACCGCCCCTCATCCACACAGGGACCAGAGCCCTCTGCAGCCGGGGCTGGGCTCACAGCTCTCCCACCAGCCCCCGCTGACAGCCCTCACCCTTGTAGATGAGCTGGGTCTCTTCCTGCTGCCTCCTCAAGTACCGCCCTGCAATCCCTAGAACACAGAGCCTGTTATGGACCATGGCCCAGCTCCTGCTGCGGCGGGGCGGGGAGGGAGCCCGGGCTTGTGGCTCACCCATGAACCTGACAGCTGCCTCTCGCAGGGGCTCCTGTGGGCTCTGCAGGTAGGGCAGGGCCCGGCGCAGGAGCTCGGCCGCGCTGCTGCTGTCCTCTGCCAGCTGGAGAGAGCGGCAGCAGGGAAGGGTTGGCACGGGCTCAGCCCCTGGGCCGCGGCTCCATCGGCACCCGGCTGGGGCCGCAGGAGCCTGGAGCAGAGCCCGCGTGGCCTCGGGCTGCAGCAGCGGGCAGGGGCACAGCTGCCAGCCCGCACACCGAGCACCGCGCTCAGGGGCTGCTCCGGGCTGGGGCTGCGGCTTCCCGGCCCTCCTTACCAGGCACTCAGCAAACTTTGACAGCTGCTCCTTCTTCAGCAGCTGCTTCAGATGCCTCCTCTTCAGGAACTTTGCCGCACGAAGCAGCGTTTCCCGAGAAGCCTGGAGAAGAACAGAAACATGGAAATGCCCCGCAGCCAAGGGCCCCCAGGATCAGCATCTCTGTGCCAGGGCCTGGAGGAGGCTACAGCCCTCCAGGCACCAGGGCAGGAGGCAGCTGAGCCCCCTCCCAGGGGGACAGCAGCAGCCCTTGCGTCCTCACCTTTGCCACCTGCCAGTTCTCATCATGGCAGTGGATGAAGAGTGGGAGCAGGCTCTTGCTCACATGTTTCTTCAGGGGCTTTTTTCCCGTGTCCATTACTAGCTCCATCACCTCTCGGAAGAGGTGAATGGAGAGCAGCTGCACATGGCTATTGTCCTGTTGGAAAGGAAAAGAACCAGCAATGGTTTCTCTGGGCCCACCTGGGCACAGGCCTGAAAATCCACAGGGCATCAAGTGTCCAGGCAGCACCCAGTGATGGTGGCTGGGGACACAGAGCTTTACTTGGTCAATGAGTGGCCGGAGCACCTCAGCCAGCTGCAGGGCAGTGGGACTGGATACTAGGATGGCTCGGTCCTGGAGCTCATTCAGGAATACAGAGAGGATCAATGCAACCACCTCTCCATCTGCATCCTGCAGTAGGGCCAGGAGGCTCTGTGTCAGACTCCGGATGCCTTCGGCCTGTGCGGGACACAATGCTGCACTGTGAAACCATGAACTGTAGAATCATAGCATATCCTGGAGTGGGAAGAGATCCACAAGGATCATCCACTCCAACCCCTGGCCCTGCACAGACAATCCCAGCCTGTGCCTGAGAGCGCTGTCCAAACAGTCTCAGAGCTCTGGCAACCTTGGGGCTGTGACCATTCCCTGGTGTGCCTGCTCAGTGCCCCACCACCCTCTGAGGGAAGAACCTTTTTCTAATATCCAGCCTTAAAATCTCCTGACACAACTCCAGCTGTTCCCTTGAGTGCTGTCACTGGTCACCAGAGAACAGAGATGCCCTTTCACTTCCCTTGCAAGGAAGCTGCAGATTGCAGTGAGGTCTCCCCTCAGTCTCCTCCAGACAGACAGGTCAGGTGCGCTCAGCCACACCTCCTATGGCTTCCCCTCTAGACCCTTCACTATTTTCATATTCCTCCTTTGCACAATCTCTAGTAGTTTCATGGTTTTTTTACATTTTGGTGCCAAAAATTGCACACTGCGCTTGAGGAAAGGCCACACCAGCCCAGAGTAGAGCAGGATGTTCCCATCCGTTGCCCAGTTGGTGATGCTATGCCTGATGCACCCCAGATATCCCTCCTGGCTGCCAGGGCACTGCTGACTCCTACTCGCCATCACAGGATCCCCACAGGTCTCTTTCCACAGCACATCTCTCTGATCTCTCATTCCCTGCTCTAGCCACACAGCCAGGCTGCTCATGCCAGGTGCAGCATCTGCCACCTGCCCTTGTTCAACTTCATATGGTTGGTGATTGTCCAGCCTGCAAATCTGTCTCTACAGGGCATCTATCCTCAAGGGAGTCAACAGCTCCTCCCAATGTAGTATCGTCAGCAAACTTAGTTATTATTTCTTTATGTGCTGTGTCCAATGCCACTCTGGCACTGCAACCCCACCCTGCTGCCACAGGGCCTAGAGGCCAAAGGCCTGTCCCAAAGCACTGGGGCAGCTGAAGTGGGAGGCAGGAGAGCTGGGAGAAGCTGTCCCAGTGCCTGAAGCCCAGCCAAGTTCCAGCGACTGCGTTCCCCAGCCCCACGCTGCCTGCACAGCTTCAGCTGCTGCCCCTCCTTACCAGCGAGGGATCCTTGCTGAGCACCACAAGGCCTCTGAGCGCCAGGTAACGCTTCTCCCTGGATTTGCTCTGCAGGTTCCTTGAAATGATCTCCAGGGCACTGTCACTCCATTCCCTCATGTCAGGGCACTCGAGGACCTGAAAGGCACAGGGCAGTGACAGGGGACCCGGCCGGCAGGAGCCCAGAACCGCACAGGGCGGGGCCCAGGCAGCAGCACAGGGCGTGGGCACCGTCCCAGGCAGCTGCAGCTGCGAGAGGGCAGAGAGCTGGGAGGCAGCAGAGCCAGGCAGCGCTGGCCAACAGGCTCACCTCCACAATGAAGGCCAGGGCAGGCAGATCCCAGCGTGGCTTCTGTGAGCTGAGCAGCCCCAGCAGGCGGAGTGCAATGCAGGAACACAAGGGGTTTGAGGTACGGTGCATCTCCCTGGAAGGCAGAAAAAGGCACCAAGACTCTGAGTCAGCAGGAGCAAACGTCTCCCAGGACTGTCTCACAAGTTCTTGTCTTTCCCCACTACCCTGCAAGACCTGGGCCCTTTGGGAGGCGGCTGCTCTTGGGCACCCTCCTCTCCCAGCATTTTCCAGTCTGCTTGGCCATCCCTCAGTGACAAGGCCCTCTGGCCCCTGACCACAGGGACTGTGAAGGACACCCCAGACACAGAGCACAAATGCTGAGAGCAATGGGAAAGGGGTCCCACCTGGCCAGCAGACCCACAGCATAATGGTGGGTGTCAGCACGGAGCAGCGTGTCCCAGCCATGTTTGCGCTCCATAGCCACCAGTAAATCCAGACACCGCAGATGGCGGAACAGTGCCCTCAGGGTCTGCACTGCAAACCTGCGGGCAGAGCAAAACCCAGGTCACCCTGGGAGTGCTGGCACCTGCCCTGGGGACATGGGAGAAATGGGATGGAGCACCTGTTGATGCTGGTGGGAAGGCTGAGTTGCTCCTGGCATTCCTTCCAGAAGGTATTGACCTCCTCTGGCAAATCTAATGTGCTGACAAAAACTTGGAAAAGCAGAGCCACAAGGAGGCGGGGAGAATATTCCATAAATGGTGCTGGACACCAGGGCAGGCGGAGAATCTCCCAAACGACCCTGGTTGCCTTCAAAGAACAAAGCCCCCCAAGACAGCGCTCAGTGCTGAGGTGTCTGTGTGACTGGGACCGAGCGTGGCAGGGAGAGGCCCAGAGAGACACAGGGGGAGCAGCAGGCCTGGTGGCCCTGCAGCTGTCCCTAGGCCAGCTTTCAGGCCAGTGCATGAGGCAGGGAGATGCAGTGGGGGAAGGAGGATGGAGAGCTGTGGGACAGGCAGCCTTGGGGCCAGCAAAGACCAGAACCAGAAACTCACAGCCAGGGCAAAGACTCTTGTTTTGTCCCCATCAGAGGTGGACACTCTATGCAGTGGCCAGTCCTCCAGCACACAGAGCAATGTTGGCAACACCTTGTCCACTGCCACTCCTGATGAGGCTATGGTTCTCCACATGATTGTAGCAGCCCTATGGGACCAGAGCTGCGTATCAGAAGGATCTTAGCCACAGCACCATGGCCTGGGCAGCTGTGGGGGCCCAGGTGACAGAGCCCTGGTGCCCTGAGAGGCAGGGAGGGAGCATGGCAGCAGGCTGGGTGGCTGACATGCCACATCTGGGAAACAGAGAGCCTGGTGGGTCCTGGAACTCTCTACCTGTCTATCAGACTCCACTGGACTGGCTGTAGAGGGTGATGGGCCTTAAGGGCCAGTGAGCCATGAGGCCACAAGGAAGGTGGCTCCCATACCTGTCACATGATGGGGCACAGCGCAGGAGGGTGACTGTGACATCAGTGGGGTGTGCCTCGGTCAGCCTCAGGATGTCCATTAACACCCTGTCACCTGGAGGTGCACTGGATACAAGTCTCTGGTGCATGTTCCTCACAAAGTCTGGCACCTGGTGGAGGCACACAGAGAGCTGGAGAGCTGCCAGAACAGCAACTTCCCCCGCTTCCTCTGAGAAGTTCTTCCCTTTCCACCACACTCTGATGGCATCGAGGGCTGACGGGGGCCCAGTGGACCTGGCTTGAGGAACGCCCATTTCCTGGGGGGATCCAGCCCTGTCCACAGGCTGCTTACTTCATTTGGGTGGGAAACAAGTCTCTCCCCAAAAATATCCAGGTTGGGAGAAGAAGCCTTCATATTTGCTATGCTCTGAGTGGGTGTGATATCAGTGTTGGCCGTGTGGTCAGTGTAATGTTAGGGTTTGCATCCTCCTTCTTCTCCTGGCCATGCTAGAAGGTCTCTCCCTTGTCCCACCAAGATCTGTCCCTAATGGCACATGGAAAAAAATTGCTTAAAGCCTGGGGACAAGGAACAAGGTGGTTGCACAGAGCCTCCCTGCAGGACCACCCTGTCCCATTGCCTCGTCTGGACACTGTGGCCACGAGCAGCTGTATTGTGATGTGCTACCAAGGGCCCTGTGACACAGAGAGACGTTCCTTCCCACAGTGCCCACCGTCACAAAGGGTCCTTGCACACAGTGCCGTGTGCCCTGGAACCTCCCCCAGCCCAGGCAACCTGCCCTGTTGTGGGGCAAAGGAACTCTACAGGAATAAAAGACACGCTGATGTATCCTGAGCCCACTGGGAACACGACTGTCGCAGATGGTTTTCTTACCCTCCATAACCATTGGGGGACATATGGGAGCCCCAAAATCAGAGTGTTCTGCCTTAGCAGATTCCAGAGGGTGATGATCCTGTACCAAGGAATGAAAAGAATCCACTGCCACTGACGTTGCCCACAGGCCAGCCCATCTTGGTGTTGCACCTATGACCTAGGCAGATCTAGTGCTGGTTATTACTGCCTGCTTGTTTGCCCTTGTTGTTGATTGGTATATCTCTTTGTCTATTTCTCCTGTAGGATGAGAGGCCTGTGTGGAGGTTGCAGTCTGACCCTTTGGTACAAAAATAAAACACTGAAGAGTAGACTGAGGGGAGACCTCATCGGGGTCTGCATTCTCTCCTCATGAGGAGCAGTGAAGGGACAGCTCCAATCTCTGCTCTCTGTGACCAGTGACAGCACCCAGGAGAACGCCTGGAGGTTTAGGCTGGATATTAGGAAAAGGTTGTTCCCCCAGAGGGTGGTGGGGTACTGAACAGGCTCCCCAGGGACTGATCACAGCCCCAAGGGTGCCAGAGCTCTGGGAGTGTTTGGACAACCCTTTCAGGCCCAGGGTGGGATGGTTGGGGTGTCTGTGCAGTTCCATCCTTAAAACAACGCATCCCCACAATCCACATTCCTTTGGATGAACATGATCTCTCTATCAATAAACTCATGTTCATGGCCACTGCCTCTCCAGGAGCAGACTCTGACTTTTCAGTCTTATTAAAATTCACAGAAAGTTTTGCTATGAATATTTTCCCCCTCCTTTTAAATCACGAATGGACACTCCCTGGTGTGCCTCAGTGCTGGCTCCAGGTGAGCACTGACAACACTACAGATGCAGCTCATTAGAGCACGAGCAGCAGGGTGATGATCCCGCTGCTTATTCTGCTGGGGAAAACTCCTATTTTACAGCCTAGGCTGGCTTTCAAACAAGCGGGGCATGTTCTGGATCCAGTCCTGACTCCAGACTGTGCTAACGTGGTTGTCTGTGTGAAGATCCCTGGGAAACTCGTCCTTGGAGATGACCACAAACATTCTCCCAGCCAGGGACCACGGTCTCTGTCCTGCCTATGTGTTGAAAGATCGGCAGAGGGCAGAGCAATCGCACCGAAGGATGGATGAGGACAATTCCCAGGAGCCGGTATCCTACTGCAGTGCCGTGGGTGGCACATATGATAGGCCAGGGTGCCCAGTCGACCTCTTCCCTAGGGAGGGTGCAGCCAGGTGGGCAGGGTCCCTGGCAGAAGATAGACAGGGTGGTAGTGAAAGTGCTCTTGGAGGTGCCAGGGTTCCTTCTCTCGGCATCCTTTGGGACACAGGGAGCAAGCTGCCTACCCCAGCAGTGTGAGGTCCACGCAGGAAGCAGCAGCTGAGATAAGCTACCTGTTACACAGGTGCGAGGTCCACCTGGAGACAGAGCCACCAATAAAACAGACCCTCCCAGAGATCATCCTGGACTGAGCTCAGGTGCCTGGGGCTGTGACTGAAGGATGTGTGGGTGGAGGCAACAGGTGAGGTCAGCAGGACCCCTTACTGCCCTCAGGGGTCCAGCATTTGGGGCAACCCAAGGTTTGAGAGGGAAGCAATGAGAGTCTTGAGGGCACAGCTCTGCTTGGGACTGCTCCTCGGGATGGGGGCTGAGAGGAACTGCAAGGTGGTGCCCATTCCCATGGCTGGTCGTGACCAGCTCCCTGTGACCTTTTCCTGTGTGGGCACTTTATGGATTCTTTTGGGGGTGACCTGCTGGTTCAGAAAATGGGAAAGAGCTGGGCACTGTGTTTGTGAAGAGGTTCTGCCAGAGCCCAGAGTACCCCCAACTCTTGGTACCTTTGCTTCTGTGAAATCTCAGGAGCACCTGGGTCACTGAGCTTTGGAAAGGACCATTGGCTGCCCAAGGCTGACTTGCTGTGTTCTCCTGGGCACTTGGCTTTCAGGAGTCCTTGGCACTTGGAGTGTGAATGTGTGCAGAGTGATCTCATCCCCTGGAGATGCTCTTTGCCCTTCCCAGCAGATGGGCAGCAGAGGAAAGTTCCAACTGATCTATCCAAGAATTGTAGGCAGAGAAATGAAGCAGGTGAGCATCCAGCTGTGCTGCCGGGGTGATGTGCCTGAAAGCCAATTTCTGTCAGGGGGTAGGGGCCAGGCAGTGGTGGAAGAGCTGTACCTTCTGTAGAGACCTTGGGGAGGGGGAGTGGAAGGCAGAAACATTGTGAACCCACAGCCCAGATCAGCAGCCTCCTTCCTGCAGCAACAGCCATGCTCGTAAATAGCAGGAAGTATGGAGAAGCAATGAAAAAATAAATAAATCACAGGAGACAACTTCTTGAGTCCCCAGCCCTGTGGAGCACATCGGGAGCAGAAAGATGCCCACTGCCCAGCAGGAACCATGAGGGGAGCACAGGGAGGTGCAAACCCACAGCCGTGTCTGCTGCTGCATTTGGGGAGAGCTCTGACACCACGAGTTCTCTGGAGCAGAACCAGCCCTTTCCCTTCTACACTCAACCCCCGCATGGGAGGGGAGTGGAGAGGTCCCCTTCCTCCCCACCTTCAGCAGACAGCAAGGGCAGAAGTGGAAGAGAACAGAAAGTCTCCAGGGGCCAAATTTGCACCTTGTTTCCATGCTGGGGGCCGGGGGTTTGGAATTTGGGAGCTCTCCTTCTTTGGAAAGGGTCCAGCTGCCTTAGGAGAGAAATTCCTTGCATAGCTTTGCTGTGAAGAAAGTGCTGACCTGTTTGGGGCGTTTGCTGAGTAAGTGAAGATGAGCTGGTAAGTGCTGGAAGAAAATGGCCCAGTTTGCTCATCACTGGGGTTAGGCAGCTGATCAGGCTCTCTGGGACAAGTGGTACCTGGGGACAGTGGCTTTGTGTGCCGTAAGGGAGCCCACGAGGGTGTCCCAATGCTCCCTGGCTTCACATACCTCCAGAGAGATGATCTGACTGCAGCACAGAGCTCACGTGGCAGCCCAGGAAACCCCACCATTCCCAGGGGTGAGACCCAGGGAACACCTGCAGAGCTGGAATCTCAGGGTGAGGATGAGACAGTGGGTCAGGGAGGGGGCGTTTAGCTATGGCTTGACTCAGAGATGGCTGGACATCTTGGGATGCAAGGGACTCACACAAGACATTGATCACTGCAGTGTCAAAGGGGATTTAAAACCAGCAGCAGGTGGCTGGGGGAGAGGGCATGGAGGGACTGGGCTAGGAAATGCATCTTATGTTCACTTCTGAAAATGCCAGCAGGAAAGCAAACAGTGTAACTGCAATAAATATGGGAGGCAAATCTGACCTCTTGCAATGCCAGGAGAGCAGCCAGTGTGGACCTAAAAGGGCATCAATTTAGTTTAGCTATAAGGCAGCATTTTTTTAGGATGATGGTGGTGGAACACTGGCACAACTTGCCCAGGGAGGTGGTGGATGCTCTATCCCTGCGAACATTTAAGACTAGGATGTACAGGTCTCTGAGCAAAATGGTCTAGTGAAAGGTGCCCCTGGCCATGAGATGGTGTTTAAATGTCCCTTCCAACACAAACCATTCTGGAATTCTATGATTCCATAACTCTGTGTTCCTTTTCCTGGACAACAGAGCAAGGGCAAACCTAAATGTGTTTCCACATCAACACTAGACACCTAAACCAGGTACTCACGTATTTTAGGAGAGGCTATAATAGGGGGACACTTCCACTTGAAGACTGGATTGAAGTGTTGGAGAATAAGTAATAAAGATAAAACTTTTTAATGCAGTACATGGTGCCATTCCTCCAGAAACAGTCTGAGAACCACCAGGAAAATTTTGTTGCTACTCTGGATCTGCTCTGAAAATGAGGAAATATGTAAAAAAAAACAAAACAAAACAAAAAAAAAAACCAAAAAAAAAAAAAAAAAAAAAAAAAAAAAAAAAAAAAAATCCCAAAAAAAAAAAAAAAAAAAAAAAAAAAAAAAAATACGAGTACAGGGAAAAGTGATGCTGAGGAGTAAAAAGTCTCCCAGAAGAACAGGAAAGCTGAAAGAACGCATCAAGTCAGATATAAAAAGGGAAGCAAGACAACTAGGAGCAAGCTGGAGGCTTGTCCTGCTAAATGTGCTCAAACTAGTGGTGACCAGCTCAGCCAGTCTTCTGTAGGTACTGGGAGGTGGGAAGGGTGCACAGGGATGGGATGGACACAGTGACAGGGCTTTCCCCTGGGGGGCATCCACACTCCTACCCATTTTTTTCCCCTCAAGGTGGGAAAGGCTTTTAAATTGGAATAGAAATCCTGGTGGAGTTATCCTGGAGAGACAAGCTAAATGTCCTGGACAGTTTGGAAATGTCCAACACCAGGATGGGGACACTGATGGTCAGCAGGAACATGGTCAAGTCCTGTCCTAGGGGAGTACAAGGATTCCTGAGCCTGGGGATACTCACAGGAGCAGTCCTTCCTTGGGGCCACTCCCCCTC